AGAGATGTACATAAGGAAAGGAAAATACAGAAGTCAGAGAAGATGTAGCTGAACAAAAAGTTGTAATTTCCCTCAAGGAGGAATTCACAGTAATTAAATGATAGGAATAATTAAAGAATTTTTCCGTAACTAGAAAGAGACATGTATATGAGCATGTAACTGCAAATGTTCATCATAAAGATGATTTGTTTAATTAACAAGACAAAGAAAACATACTATAAGGCTACAGAAAAGAATTAACAGGCAGCCCACAAAGGGACGCATACCAGTATGAATTCAGACTTCCTGTCAAAGCTAAACTGAAACTGTCCAAATGCTTAAGCATTTGACCGTATTTCTAGACCTTTCAGACAAAAAGAGATGTGCCCCAATAACTCTGTGTCCAAGTATGTGTGAAGGTAACAAGAATGACACTGTCAGACATAAAAAAGCCAAAAAAATTAAAAATATAAATATATATAAATATGTATAAATTATACATTTACTTATAAATACATATGCTATATGTTATGATATATAATATATGTGATCAAGTTCAATTAATCATCTGAATAAACAAAATAGCTACTTTTACCATCTTCAGTGAGATTTAGATGAGCAATTTTTCAAAAAGTTTTTCAGGAGAAATTTCAAGCATGTATACTGGAAGATGTTAATTTCAAAACTGATTATCTTCCCAAAAGAAATTTTCCTTACTCATAAGTTTAAGGCATTTTTCCCAAAAGAAATTAACCTCTCCATTCTGATATAGGTGGTAAGAGAAGTTGCTCTGAGAGGTCTTAAAGTACACACACACACACACACACACAATTACACATATACACATATACTTACAAATACACACATACACAAATATGAATACAAACACACATATAACTTTTCTTCTGTTAAGGACAGACACATAGGAAGAGGAAAACATACTGAAGATAAATCCATATTTTACTTATGGTTACCTCTCAGTGATGGAATAATGGGTGATTCTCCTATACAGTTTTCTAGATTTACCAAATTGCCTTCAATGAACATGTATCCTTTTTCTCTAGTTAATAAAAATATGTTACCCCAAGATTTCACTTAATGTACTAATGATATTTTTTGTAAAATTTTAGGTAATTCATGTCTAATCACTCTCATTTCATTCAGTTGTTCATTTGTTTGTTGACTTACTTGTTTATTATACGGTAAATATACACACTAAACATTTTCCATGTGCTAGCCATGTACCTAAGTACTAGGAATAGAGAAACAGAAAGACAGTCTCTTTCCTCATGGAGAGCCCACTGGAACACAATGCCTGAAATAAATAATTACAGCATTTGAGGAAAAATCCAGTTTGTTATGAGAGATCAGAATAGATTTAATTTGGATTTAGCTGACCAAGCAAGGCATCCTGAAGGAAATAACATATAAACAAAAACAGGGATTAATTGGAGCCTGACTAGAGAAAATAGCTTTCATAGGAAGGAAGGAAGGGATAGAGGGAGGGAGGGATGGAGGAAGGTAGGCCAGTGCTGCTATTCTCATACTGAAATGTTCAAATGTATTTCACTTTCCATCACGCTGTTTTACCCACTAAGCACCAATTTAAAAATTCTTTTAACTAAATTATTTTTAATGGCTTTCACAATGCTGGTTCAGTTTGAGTACTATAATCCTATTCACACTAGATACTGACTAACAAGATAATATTACAAAGAAAGAATTTCTCACAGATTCTGTAAAGCAGCCTAGGGCTGAAAGACAGAAGATCTTAAATTGTACGGGGTGATAGGAAAGATAAAACCAATCAATTCATTTGCCATTAAAATTTTGTTTCAGTGAATCCCATTTGGTATAACTATGTCATATACTATCAATGGCCCGTTGTGAGTCATGGTCAAGCCTCATTTCTGTTAGGAACAGCTGAGCAGAAGAGACGGCTATGGTAAAGAAGACAAAATACACTGTCCTTTCCTTAATTACCAGAATTCATATACACAATAATCCTTGGCTTTAAACAGAACAGAAAACCCACCTCTTAAATTTAATATTATTTTTAAAAAAATATTATTACTCATTACAATATAACATAAAATCCCTTTAAATGAATATGTGGCAACCTGGCTCTACAATACACTCTTCCTTATCACTAGCAGCATCATGATCGTAAGCTCTTCTTGTCCATCCTAGAAATATCCTTACCAATATCCTTACCAGGCATTATGTAAGGCCACCAGGTAGTCACTACATATTAGTCCATTTCTTGGTCCATTCAAGTCCTCACAGGAAACAGACTGAACACTTTATCTTTCAACAACTGACTGAATTCAGACATCTTCCTCTGGGAACACTGATTGGTTCTTTTCAAAAAGGGAGTGGTATGGCTGCTTTATCTGGCTGCTGAGAATCCACATGGAAGGTGCAAGTTTGAAAAGGTATGCCTTGAAAATTATGTGAGTTAACTACTAAATAATTTTTTAAGTTATGGCAAGAAGTACAGCTCTTATAGGACATGTGTGAGCAAATCACCTTTACGAAGTATTTGTTTTCTACTCCTTACTTTTTAGTGGAACAGCTATTAAGTACATGAGACTGTGTAACTTTCTTTTGAAAAACAAAAACAAAAACAAAAACAAAGAAAAACTAAATATTCCCAAGGAACATACTTGAATGTCGCTTTTGATTTTTTTGAATGCATCTACAACAAATAGATATTAAAAAATCAAATGAAAAGGTATTTAATGCTTATAGATACTTCTTTTCAAACATACTACTTATGAGTTCACCTTTGAAATCAAGATCATTAGAAACACTAAAATCCTGTGCATTTTTTTTTTTTAAAGAGAGCAATCACACATATGCATGTGAGTAGGGGAAGGGGCAGAGGGAGAGGGAGAGAGAGAGTCTTAAGCAGATTCCATGTACTTGAGAGGGGACTCAATCTCATGACCCTGAGGATCATGACCAGAGCAGAAAACCACTTAATCAACTGAACCACCCAAGTGCACCTAAAATCCCACTTTTTTTTAAGTGTTTACTTAATCACTAGGCAAGAAATGTGCCCTATCAAGTCCATTAAACATGAAAATAATCTCAAGTTCATTTTCCTACTTGTGTTTGGAATACAAACTCTGATAAATACTAGGATGCTGACATTGTAAGAAAGAAACTAATGATCTGAAATGACAGAGCATTTGGTTTGAATGATTAGGTTGTTTGTCATGCTTATGTTAATAGGTTTATAGTCTAGTCTTTCAACTGGATTTTTTTAAGCCCTAACAACTCTGTCCATCTGGCAACACTGTTTTCCTCAACTTGTAGTATCATTCTAATATTCAGGGAACGTGCTTTATTCACATTGAAGGAACATCTAAAAGCAGAGGAAAGGCCAAAGCATGTCAGGAAAGGGTCACTGCTCTTAACTTAGAAAAGAAACTCAATCAATAGGATTTCAGTAGTAGACAGTAAAATACATGGGAATAGCACCATGACTTTATAATTAAAGTTCACTTAAAAATTAAGGAAATAATTTTGAGTGAGTGGAATTGTCATTATGACAAGATGATTACTGCTCTGTGTTCTCTGAAAGCTTATAGCTAAATAAAAAATACTTTCAGGAAAAAGAATTTAGAAGAATGTAATTCTTGAAGGCTACCAATCTGAATGGCTACCAAAAGTATTCCTCTACATTATATATCTGGTTTTGAGCAAACACTCTCTAAAAATGAAGGAGAGAACCAGGCATGACTGATCCAAGCGGCTTCTGCTGACACTGGGTTGTAGTCCTGGGTTTTCTGCAATACCAGGGCAGGTCTGCTATGTTCTCAGAAATAGAGGGATCCAAGGCAGTGGGTAATGTGGTGCAAGAAATATATGCAAATATACCCAGCCTATAACGCCTACGATGGAATGCTGGCTTGTGGTATAACACCTTATCAAAAACAGTTCCTTTGCCTACTTATTAAAGAGGTCCATCAAAATTAAATAACTTGGCCATTCCGTTCATTGATTTTTAAATAAGATGACATCGAGGCTTGGGAATGTGATTTTAGAAAAAGTGGTTTAACTTTTCCAAACACAAAGGGTTGCATGAGGTCACTAAAGCCACAAAAACAAACTCTGAATCCTGAAAATTGATTCAAAAATAAATCAGATAACCTGTGAGAGCCTTTGAGAGAAGGTACACATGAATACTCCCCTTACTGCATCCAAGTTATGGGCCCCTTAGGGATACAGTATCTTTCATTTGATCAGCCTCAAGTTTGAGAGCATGGATATCTTCTGGACCCCATTTTTGTGACGACAGAAAGGAGTATTTATCCACATGGATATTTACAGCAGAGTTCCTTTGGAGAGTGAATAGCACCCCGTTTTTGTGTATGTTCCAGACTTGACCTTCCTCTGGCCTTGGAATTATCTGGTTTGTTTTCCTCTGTAGCCAGGTTCTAAAATATCAAACACAGCTGTAGGCAAAGGAAGAGGTTGGTCAAATAGCCCACCCAGAGGTGCCATAATAAATAGAAATGGAACTAATGCATGTAGCATTAAACAAGGTTTGACTTGGCACCACTCCCAGGAGTCATTTGTACGGCAGGTCAGAAGAAAACAATGAAACAAACAAAACAACATGAAAAACAAACTGGGGGATAGGCACGCTTTAGAGTCAAATGAAGCTGAACATCATAAATTTCCTAGTGGCCACCACAACTAGGAGGAAGAGATGGAGGAACATTGCTAAAGAATGTTGTAGGGATTTTGTTTCCAAAAGGGACCTATGCACCTGTTGATGTGTTTTCCAGGCCCTTGAATGATAACAATTTATGAGGCTATTAATACTAAGCCCAAGATTTATCAGATGTGCTGTTTGTCTTGTGGCCAATATAACCTCATAAAATTTGGGTTGCATTGGGTTAAAACAGAGTGTTCTGCTATTGGAGTTATTCAGAGCATTTAAATCGCTTAATCCTACAAGAACGGTGCATTTAGCCTGCCTATTAGGGAGAGTCTTTAGGGATTCCTACCAGTTGCAGAGCCAGGCTGGAGGGGGCCGTCCATTGCTGGATGAGGTAAAATGGAGGCAGCAGGGGAGGAAGGTGTCCTGGAGAAAAGACGATGTTTCTCTAATCCATCCATGCCAACCACAGCCAGCTGAGCTTGGTGCACTGAGAGCACACGTGTGTGCTGGGGCTCCCGGAAGGGCTGTTGCCAAGAAAAGAGCACAGTAGAGAGAAACATGAGACAAGCATTGAGGGAGACACTGAGAATGACGTGTAAACAAATTAAGTTCATCAGGTCAGAGACATAATAAACGGTGTGAAGGAAAAAGAAAAAAAATAGAGAGAGAGAAAAAACAAGATCTAGTTAATAAATCCATTCAACAGATGTTTTCACACTGACTGCCAGGGCTGTCTGACTGGCTGAGGAGGAGGTGATGGCAGGAGGCCTGTCAATTTGAAGTGATTGAAAGAAACAGACCTTTAACCTCAAGAGGAACATTGACTTAGATTCATTTCCTATCTTGATAGCAACGTTTTGAATATAGCTCTGGAATTTTTGCAACACAAAGTAGGAAAACAATTTAGCTGCTTTCAAATTGCCAATAAGGCTCAATACCGAAAATTCTATCTTGAATTTACTAATACTGCTAATAAAATTTAAGGGAGCCTAAAAATTACCAATTAAATGGCTATGTTTTAACACCTTTCAATTTTCATATTATGGTATAATCTCAATACTATAAAATATATATTATATATATAAATATATATGTAATCTCAATACTATAAAAATGTTTAGTTTCTTTAAAGAGCATTAAATATATAATCTCGGTGATTTAACAATGTTAACATTCTTCATGCTTAAGTTATCAAATCCAAAAGCCAGGGTTTGGAAGTTCCTGGAAGATGCACTTAGGTTGCTTCTCTGTCTCTTAAAAAAAAAAAGGCAATTAAGTTACGAAATCAAAGAGCCAGAGTTTGGAAGTTCCTGAAGATTCACTTAGTCTATTCCTCCATCTCGAACAAAGACAATCTCTAAAACACAGACAGGCAGCTAATTTACCTATCAATATTACATAGAGAATATCTTCCCTCTTCTTCAAAATCATGGAATTCATAACTTTCATACTGCTTTTTACGCTTCTTTCCTTTTCCATATTCTGAACATTGAAAAATAGCTGAACATTGATCCAAAAGATGATTACCACATGCCACAGATAAAGAAACTGATATTCCAAAAGATTAATAAAGTTTTTTTTAAGTATAAGAGTAATATCTTCTAATTTTAAAATTTTACATGACTTTCTGCTTTGATCTACCTGGATAGCATTTACTCTTTCAAGACTTGATACACACATCACTTCTCAAGGATAAGGATTTGCCTTATCCTTCCTGTTACTAACCTAACCCAATTGCTAGTACCCAACATGTGCCATTATATGTGATACTTGTATTTCTATATAATGCAAGGCTTGTTACATCCTAGGTGTATAAATTACCCACTTAGAATGCTAACAAAACTACATGCAACACAACTGTATTCAATGCATACTATATCATTTTATGTCATTACAACTTCCTCTGTATATGAGTTAATGCTGCATATAAATGTGCAACTTATGATTATAAATATATAGTTATAGACCTTAGGCCAAAACACTCAGTTTTCAAAAAAATAGTAATTTAAAATTAATTTTAAAATAAGTTATAGTTAACATATATGTATATGTTGTTACTGCTGTTTTGCTCTAACTGAACCATCAATCAATTGGAAGGCATTTGTCACATGCTCAGGCTTTGAGCACTGGCTTTGATAAGGATGGGTTGGTCAGGATCTAGTTCTAGTTATAATAGGTTTAATATTTTGACAGGAGTCTAACTCTCTTGTTTTCTTGAGTGTCTCCATCTTCAATGCCCTGAGGATACAATAAATAGTAAGGCTGACATAGTCCCTTCTTTCATGGAGTTGATACTCAGAGGGAATGCAAATTTATAATTATGACTTGGGGAATTTTCTGTGGGGAAAAGGGGCTTTGCTGCATATGATCTAAAATGCATGGGTAAATATATACCTGAATGTAATCTCCATCCTTTCTGTCTCTTCCTACTGTAATCTCTTTAACCCTCATCTAACCTAATGCCAAAGTCCGTTGATTGATCACCGTATTTCTAAGACAATCCATCGTATTCCTTCCTGCAAGAATTCTCTTCCAAAAGCCCTCTGTAAGCAAGAAGTTGTCACAAAATTCTCTGAAAGGAAGGTTTAAAGAACTTCCCCAGCCTGGCATTTGGGCTTTCTGACCTGAGGGTACCTGCATTCTCAACATTATGTCTTCTATTCCTTTTCTAGGTTCCAGCCAAATCCTAACTACTGTATAACAAATGTTGTCCCCAGGAGTACATTCTGATTATTATGTTGAGCCTTTTTTATGTTTATTACCTAGTTAGGATACAGATACTAAGTATTTCTAAGTATAATGCAATTATAAATATAATGAGTGCTATATAAGATAAATGCAGAGTGCCATGAAAAAATGTAAAGAAAAATCTGATACAGAGGTTGAGGCAACTTTCATTTAAGAATGTGATGTTTAATTTGAGTTGTGGAAGTCAAGTTGAATGCATATTATAAGCAATCATAACACAGAAAAACCGAGGAACGACGAGTGAAAAATACAAGAAAATAGAGACAAGACAAAACAATTACCAAATGACAATACTCTGAAATTATTTAGTGTTGGAGCCAAGAGATAATGAAGGAAATGAATGATTTCAGGTTATTTTTCTTCTGTACTTTTATGAGGCTTCCAAACTTTCTACATACCACCCATATTAAAACTTTAATTAAGAAAAATAGTAAATGTTTTTAAAAATAAACAGTCGAGACTTAGACCCAAGAGCAGACATAGGCCAAATATTTTTGAACCTCTCCTTAAAAAAGGACTAAAGAATAGAGAAAAGTTCTTTCACTTTCAAAAGAGTTAACTACATTATACACTTTTACAAATGAAGTATGGCTTTTAATGTATGGGGGAATCTTGACTATCCAGCAAGACACATATTATTATGCTGCATATTTGACATCAAAGTATCACAAAATGGTAAGCCACTTTTATTTCAGATGGGTATTACTCCTCAGCAATAAAAAGCTTCCTGCTTGATGCTGAAAACTGAAGTAGTATTTTCCTGTTATAGCTGGAATGGACTGAAGTGTTTCACTAAAGCTTTTATTTCTACTAACAATTTTAATGAGAGGTAATTTTTTCCATGGTTATTTTTCATAGTTCTAAGTATAAAAGTATATATTTCTCTGTTGTGTTCTCAGAAAAATAAAATGTTGAAGAGTACAAAACCTGTTACTAAAAATTAGATGGATACCCAAGTTAAACTTTCATCTATTGAGCCCCAATGAAAAATGCCCATTAAGTGAATAATAACTCTCTCACTTCAAGAAAGCATTTTTGATAATTTTTTTTTTTTTTAGATTTTATTAATTTGACAGACAGAGATCACAAGTAGGTGGAGAGGCAGGCAGAGCGAGAGAGGAGGAAACAAGTTCCCTGCTGAGAAGAGAGCCCGATGTGGGGCTTGATCCCAGGACCTTGGGACCATGACAGAGGCTTTAATCCACTGAGCCACACAGCCACCCCAAGAAAGCATTTTTGATTAAAATTTTTAAATATACTATATTGAGTCTGTTTCCTCTTTTTTTTTTTTAAGATTTTATTTATTTGCCAGAGAGAGAGAGAGAGCGTGCGCACACACAAGCCGGAGTGGTGGCAGGCAGAGGGAGAAACAGGCTCCCCACTCAGCAAGGAGCCCAATGCGGAACTCAATCCCAGAGTCCTAGAATCAGGAGTAGAGTGGAAGGCAGATACCCAACCGAGCCACCCAGGTACTGAGTCTGTTTCTTAAGCATACATTAGTTGTTCTTTTTTCAGGTCACTTAATTGGGGATTTGGTTTCAACTGCTTACTTTACCAGATGGTCATTCTGGGAAATTCTTTCAGGTTACTGAGATGTGTAAGTCAACCTTTTGTTATATGAAGTAAGTCGTCTAAGGCCACTATGCCTGAACATCATCTGTCTCCTCCCGCTGATAAAAATTGTAAATTACCTTCACAGAGGAGTTATTACGCACCTGTTTTGTAAATTCTTTTATAAATTCTCTTATGCCTAATAAGATGTCAATGTTACTGCGGCCTTGGCCTTTCTAAGTCATGGGAGACAGGGATTAAAAGTAGATAGGAAAGGTCTTGAAGTTCTCTGTATGAAAAGCACAATGTTCTCCCTTAGAGTAAAATATTTATTTGGGGGTGGCTTTTAACAGAGATTATGAGGTAATAAAGCCCCTAGGCAGAGGCAACTTGAAGGTTCTATTTTTTTGTAATAGCAGTGATTTTTCGTTACATTTGTTTGGTTTGGTTTTGCTTTCTTGTTGCCATTGCTCAGGGACCTATTTTATGACTTCTGTGTTTTTACTTTGTTTCAGATGGTCACATTTGGTTCCAGACATGTGGGTGGTTGCTAATTATGTGCTCTGATCAATATCATTATGTAACCTCAGCAACAGCCAATACAAAATTAAAATATTATACTGTTTAATCTTTGAAGTAATCATTGAAATAATCAGAATTATCTGAATTACTTTAATAAAAGATATGACCTGGAAGGAAAAAAAAAGTTCATGGGAAAATAATTATTAAAAACAGTTAAAATTCTATTTCCAAAGTTATTTAAGCAATATTTTTTGGCATTATGAGCAAATTTAATTTCTTGATTCACAACATTTTGAACTTCAGAAGTCTCGCTTTTCAGAAAATTAGAATTGTAGATATCCCTAGAGCTTATCTTATAAAATGCCAAGGGCTGGTGGAAATTTACATCTTCTAAAGTCTTTGTATTATTCAGGATGGGTGTGTAAGTACTGGTTAACTTAAGACTTTTTAAAACTAAACACGCATGTTAATAATTTAAAAGTGGCTACTAAATAAATAAAAATGATGCACATAACTTTAAAGTAGACCAAAAAATTCTTGAGAAAGAGAAAGCGGAATGCAAAAGCTGGTAGGAATGCAAACAAGTGCATCCACTCTGGAAAACCTCCACTAGGGAGGTTTCTCAAAAAGTTAAAACTAGAACTACCCTACAATCCAGCAATCACGTTACTAGATATTTACCCAAAGAATACAAAAATACTAA